GTCATCGCGTCCGCTAAGATCTTCCCAAAAGAGGAAGACGATTTATACTGGCGGACAACAGCGACCTCGGCTGCCCGCACAACCTCTGCCTTCGCAACGTTGTGAAGGCAAACCAGGTCCTCCTTCTCCTTCTGAAACTCTTCGCGGGCTTGCTTAAGCTTCTCAGCATAATCCGCCTCCAACTCCGCCCGGATCACGCCGCGCTCCTCAGCTCGGACGCGCTCCTTCGCCGCCTCCACATCCGACGCCAGCTTGCTCTACAGAAGGCCGAGCTCCTCCATGGCCTCATTGGCATTGGTCGTTGCCACCTCGGCGCGATGCTGAGCACCCGCGAGCTTGCCCTCCAGCTGGACAATCATCGACTCCTCCGCCTGAAGCTTCGCGTGGTGCGAACCCCCTTCCTTTTGGGCCCAGAAGGTCGCCATCAAACCCTACATTGACAGCGCCACGAGACTTAGCAAAAATTTCACTTGATGAAGAAGCAGATAGACGTACCGCGTGAACAACCCGAAATAACCTTACTGCAAAGTGAATCTGAGCCAGATCCTGCAGCGGGTTAGATTTCTCCAGCCGCGTAGGGATACTCAGATGAGAACCCAACGCGCGGAGCGCGGTATTAGCAGCCACGGTGTTGCACGCCGCGCCGGTGTGGATCCGCACGTCGCGGAAATAGTTGATGGCAGAAGCCATCTCGGGCAACTTCTGCTGAAGTGTCGCACCAGATGAGCTTCCGGCTGTTGATTTCTCCGGACGCGAAGGTGCATCCACTTGTGCACCGGACGCGTCTGCCTCCACAACTACGAGAGGCAACTGCTGTGCTGCCTGCTCAGCCACCTGCTCAGGTTGCGCGTCAACCCGAGCTGCCTTGCGGGGCTTCTCCGCCACCGATGGCTGCTCAATCTCCTTCCTCTTCACGCGCCCAGATGGCGCGGTCTCCTTCTTCTTCTTTTCGCCACGCGGAGCCCGCGAAGCCTTCACCATCACATCGTCAACCGACATCATGCTGACCAGGCTGGAGAAGTCAACACCTGCGCCAATAAATCGTAAGAGGGCGGTTAATATGACAGAATGCATAAAGAAAGGAACACAACTAACCATCGGCAAAAAGCTTCACCAAACAATCCTCGCGGACCCCGCCCACATAAAGATTAAAATTTTGCAGCATGCACGCCTCGTACTCATCGTCGAGCCTGTCGTATTTGCCCAGGTCCGACTCGTAGCCATGTGTGCTGCCCTTCTTCCAAACAGTGGGCTCCTCCACATGCTCACTCGCCCACTCCCTCGGAGTAGGCTTAACGTAAAAGAAGCGCTCGAACCAAGTTTTCTTTAACTTGGGCGACCCATACTCGAAGCCATCGGGCCTCTTGTCGCGCCGCCTGATCGAGAGGCAGTCACTCTTTTTCGTTGGCTCCTTAATCTTATACATCTTACGGAACAGCCCGTAAGACAGCGAAATGTTGAGCCTCTTACACGCAAGGCGGAGACAGCTCGCGTGCATGATGATTGATGGAGACAGTCGCCCAATCGAGCAGTTGACCCGCCTATATAGCGCGCATAGCAGCGGGTCAATGGGGAACTTAAACCCCATTACCCAGTACTCGGTATACACCCCGATCTACTCTGGGGGGCAATTACCAACAGTACTCCACGCGGAAGGAATCGCGTACTCCCAACTGGGGGGCAAACCCAACCCGCGCACAATCTCCGTCACTTCCTTCCGCCCGTAGATTGACGCGTGATCGGGCCCCTGCAGAAGACTGTCTCGCGGCGCTAGCTCATCGCCCCACATTTCCGCCCAATCAATAATCTTGTTGGGCCGCTCCCACACCGCGGAACCCTAGGCGGCTTATCGCCTCTGATACGCGCGATGCAGTGCGACTCTGATTGCGTTTCAGGCCCCTCTCGCGCCTCACAATTTGCGGCCCCAGACCCACTAGCAGGGACAGGTTACGGTGATTACTATTTTATAGTAATCACCGTGGTTACTAAGGGCAAACTGGGTATAACAAAAAATTTATTATGATCTTTTTTTAATAAATTATTTTTTAGGAAATTACATAAATATATTAAATACAATTTTAATCTCTCTCTTTCTCTCACTTCGACAATTTTTCAGCCAGATCTCTCTTCCTTCTTTTTCTCAATCTTTCCTTGATTTCGTTCATCCAAACTAATACCGCTGCAACAAAAATAAATCAATACCAATCCATTAAAAAAATACTACCATTGTACAAAACATCAATACCATTCGAGAAATATAAACACTATCATTTCACAAAACATCAATACCATTGCAGATTTAATCACTACCAATGCGACAAAATCAATACCAATGTAACAAAATCAATACCAATGCGACAAAAATAATACCAATGCGACAAAAACAATACCAATACGACAATAACACTACCACTACGGGAAAAAATGACTACCATTTAAAAAAAATCACTACGGAAAAAAATGACTACCATTTAAAAAAAAACATACCAATCCGACCGGAACGACAACCCTACGCGCACGGAACGACGAGTCCAATCGGGGGCGTTGGAGATGATGGAACAGACGGCGGAGGATGCGCCGTTAACCATGCCGCAAGAGGAACCGACGAGTGCAGAGGAGATGACGGCAGCCAACGGGGAGGCCTGGCGCGACATTGAGCCGAGGGAAGAGGCGGCACAGGGCTGCCGATTTGCATTGCAGAGACGATGGTGAGCGCGACGGTGCTGGGATCGCCATCCATCCGACTGGTGGCTCGCCCGTGGCCGGAGAAAGAGGCGTTTGTTCCCAACTCGCTGAACCACAATATCCCATGAATAAACTGACCTTGGAGCACACATCAGAGTGGCCAGAATACTATTAGTCGCAAATACGGTAGCCTTGTCCTCATTTGCCAGCCTGGGAATCACTGGATCATCGGTGGTGGTAACCTTGAAGAAGTTGTGATTCTTGAACCTCTCAAGCCGGCGCTCGCTCTTGGGCGTGACCCTATCGTAGGTCCGATCATAGAACTCCAATCCGCCGCAGAGGAGCAGATCTTCCGGCTCTGGAGAGGCGAACGAGAGCTTGGAGAACGTCGAGAAGGGGCTCCTCTCTAAAATCAGGTCGCCGCCGAGGAAGAAGCTGGCGGACAGGGTAGAGAGCTTGAGGCTACGGCGGGCTTGACTGTAGAAATAGGGTTAGGGTAGAATATATAGAATAATCCAGTGTGGTCTTTTTTTTCTTCCAAAATTATCCTGAGGCAATCTTAACCGTAAGATTAAAAAAGGAGGAAAGAGAAGAAAATAAATGGTGGATACTGATGTAGCCATTGTGGCTACTAAAAATTCAGTCACCACCCTAACGCATTCCCCCACTAGCACGGTCCCAGCGAATTATTAACACACCATGAGCACTTGTGCCGGCCTGCCCACTCCCAGACACCGTCACATCCAAATCAGACGAGCCGCGGCATTCCCGTTCCGAATCGACGTCGTACGACAGCGTCGCCGGAATTCCATCTCCACCAGCACCGTCGCCGCCCCCGTTGCCGGAATCATCCAGATCCAACGAAGGATCAGTAGAAACACGCGAAGGAGAGGAGAGATTACCTTCTTCGCCTTGCACGACCTCGACCTCGTCGATGTTGATGCTAGCCATGGCAGAATCTTGAGTTTTTGCAACAACAAGTAGAGAAAGGAGGTTGTATAAGAAGGAGAAGAATCTCGAAGACAAACACAATGTAGAGAAAACAAGAAGCAGAGCTCGAAGAAGCAGAGTGGGTTTGAATCCCCCGATGGCCAAGTATTTATACCTGAGAAAGGAAAGCCGAACAGTTAAAGTTGCTTCGAAAAACGTAACCGTCAGAGCCTTTTTGAATTTCAAAACGACCGCCAAGACGGACAACCCATACAAAGACACGTGGACACCTAGCATAGGCATAGGCACTAGCCGATGACGTCACAAGCTCCGTGCATCGCCTGGGAGGCATGGCACACCCACGGAGAGAAAAAAACACCCTCAAAAGCCCAAGCTTAGTAGAAAGCGTCACGCACAATCAAGTCAATCGCGCGCAAAAATCAAACAACCATCAGCCCAAAAAATCCCCTAAGAATCAAGTAGACTCGAGTCAATCGCGCGGAAATCAAATGGCGTCAGCCCTGAAAAGCTCACGAAGATCGCGCGGAAGTCAAAAGACGCCAATCCTAAAACTTTCACGAAGATCACGCGGACCCGAGTCAATCGCGGGGAAGTCAAATAGGCGGTATTCGCGGAACACCCCCTGATGGGGTGTAATTGTTGGGCATGTGACTCGGATCCCGCCGCGCCAAGGAAACACCGACACCAGAGGAGTTGGGCGCGTGAGCGCCGACGCGACCAGAAAGGCACACCGGCGAGCGCCACTACCAAGAGAGTCGGGCGCATCTGCACCGACGCGACCGAGGAAACAGCCCGAACACCAAACGACGACGTCCGAGTCCAGCGTTGACCAAATCAGCGAGTGTGGGAAAACGACGCCGCGCCCCACCCGACGAGTGGTCACATCATAGTCCTAGTCCTAGGTATAATAAAAGGCTAAATGTACTTATCCTAGGTAGAGGTATGGTCTAGTCTTCTGACATGTCAGTAGTCATGTCACCATGTAACTCACCCACCACCATGTAGCCTATAAATAGGGCATTTACTCCGGTGGGTGAGGGGATCGGATTTTGGAAACTCTATCTCTAAGAAAAGAACACACTTCTCTCTCTAAAAGTCACTCTCTCAACTCCATCCTTCCTTTCCTTCCTTCCTAAGTTCCAGGCTGATTCCTGTTGCTCATTCTCCTCGACCCTTTCACGTGAATCTCACTCCTACACCCAGTTAGGTTCAAACAGTCGCGATGAAGGCGCGGTGAATGCTTCACCGCGTTTGTCGACCACGATAAAGACATGACCTACCCTGAAAGCATACAATATATAATTTCACACTCACTATATATGAAAACCATACATTAACATCACCAAACATCAACTTGGATTAGTCCACAACAAGTTCATTTGTTTTATAAATCATCCAACAAAATCACTCATGGGACATTTTTTTTTCTTCCTTTTCTCTTTTTTCCCCATTCTTACACATTCAAAATCAAGAAACAAAAAAAAAAAAAAATACACGTACGCACAACACAAACAAACAAACATATAGCTACAGTTTTGAATTGGGACGCCATCCAAGACAAGTTGATATGCACGAATTGATTATATCCTACGACCTCTTCCCATGTTTCCAATCGTTGAATTAAAGACATAGAGATTGTGGAGCGACATCATCTGATGATGACACATACGAATGAGTAACCAGACCACAGATCCAAGCAACGGTTGCAAATACGTGGAGGGTGACGATCGAGTGGGCGGACGGTACGGCATCAAATCAAAGCTAGTAGGACTTAACGTGGCGGTTGAGAGCGAGCATGGGGGAAGGGCAGAACTGGCGATAAGATCCATGGCGCTTCGCAGCGGCAAACTTGCCACAGCTGACCTGCCGAAACAGCTCCCCTTCGTCAGCAGCTGCCTCCTCATCATCCGCCGAGTCCATCGCCACGAGGACCTTCCAGAAGCAGGCCACGTCACACGGCAGTAGCAGCGGGCCTTCCGGGTTGTACCCGAACTCCGACTCCGCTTCCTCCAGCAGGACCCGGAACATGGGGTGGTTGGCGTACTCCGTCTTCACCACGAACCTCTGCTTCTCCTCCCCAACGTACACCGTGAAGCACCCTTCCGGCGCCACCTGTCCCTTCTTCCTCCGCCGCTGCCGCTTCGCCTCCGTCTCCGCCGACCCGCCGGCTGCCTTGCCCAGCGACTTGCACCTCGCCCACGTCTGGACTATCAGGTTCCGCTTCTTCCCCGCTGCGGACTTCGCCTCCATACTTTGCTATATATGTATGTGACACGTGACTATTATATTGAACGAAATTTTAGCTATAGCTATTTATGTATACACAAATTCGACTCGAATTCAGGATGTTTGTTGGACGCGGGGGGGTTGAACGTAACGCGAGCTATCCTCTGTCGTAGACCAAATTGAACATGACCTTGTCTCTAGGGATCATTGAGTTACTCATACTGGATGGGAGGAATCGAGATATGGGATTCTTGACATGAAAATTGGAAAGGATCGGAGGAAGTGATGAGAGAGACAGAGAGTACTGGAGAAAACAAATGGAGAGAGAGTGGTTGTGCTGGTGGAGGGAAGGAAAGGTAGGGTGTATATAAAGGATAAAGAGGACCAGATGAGAGCTTCACTGGATGAGCATTAATGGAGGAAGGGATTGTTGTGAATGTCAAATGGGTTGCTGATTCATTGATATATAATCGAGGAGGATAAAGAAAAGGGGCAACTAGGTGACGTTGAATTTAATTTTTAAAATAAATAATAATAATAACAGGCAAACCTACTATGAGTTGTTTTCTTATTAACAATTGATAATTAACATTACTTAATGGATTTTTTTTATGAACGACATTAGTTAATGGATTTGAGGGATGAAGTTTACGCTAAATTCTATGGGTTTGCTATGGAAGGTACAAGTGAAATTAAAGTTTCACTTTGGAGTTGTTGGTGTTCTAAGGATAATTATTTTCTTTTCTGGTGAAATCAAAATTTTACCTAGTTCAAGCAAAACTCAATCAAAATTATTATCAATGTTGTGAGAGATAAATAAGAATGTCTAATCTCCTACGTTGTTTATGGTCTTTCGGATCTTTCAAGAAAAGAATTGTTGATGCAAAAATATACATAAATTAGAATAGTAACATATCTCTAACAATATCTCGTGTTATATATTTTATCTTAACTGGTTCGATATGAGTAGTTGATTCGAATATTGAAGTACGAACCAATGATCATCTTTTATATATATTATTTCATTTCGTCGCTAGAAAAACCTACAAAATATACTAATTACCATAAATCCGATCAAAAGTTTACCTTTCTATGATCCATTCATTCAAATAGCAAATATTTAGCATTTCCAACTTATTCCAAAATGTCCTTTTGCCTTTTGTATTTGAAAGTATCTTTTGCATCCAAATAGTATTGAAGAACTTTCAATAAATTTGGGAAGTGTCCAAATATTAATGTAGTCTCAACTCTTATATATGTGCAAATGGGAGGTATTTGATATGAGGAATTTTACAATGCTATATAGCCTATAAGTTTTTTTGCATTTGTGGTACAATTTGAAGTTATACCATAATATAAGGATAGAAATTTTTTTATCGTACAACTTAAACTTATGTATTTAACGTTATGATACAACTTCAAGTTGTACGTTAAAACACCAATACTTTATAGCATAGTAAAAGTGCTCACTTGACACAGATTTATGGAACACACCATAACAAAATCACCCAATTACTTTTTGGTAGGGGTGGTAATCGGTCTGTTATCGACTAGCCTGTTATCGGTATACCGTTTGCCCCCAAAGTGCTGTCGGCTACCAATACCGAAAAGAAACCGGTTAAACGTTTATCGGTTAGCAATCGGTTAACATCTGTACCGGATAAATATATTCTTATCTCCCTTCTCCCTCATCTCTCTTCCGTCTTCCCCAAATCTGCCCCCTCTCTCTCTAAAGACCATCTAAATCCTCCGATGTCTTCCCCGAATCCTTTCATCTCTGTAAAAGACCATCTAAGACTAAACCCTCTCATGCAATCTTCGATTGCTCAGCTTTGAAGGTCGGGGAGACGGATGGAGAAAGATGCAAGGCGGAGCGACGGTGACACTTGACGAGGAAATTGAGGTGGCAATTGGCGGCGACGAGGTAGATGCGGAACAACGATTCACGATTGAGTGAGATTCGTGGCTCCCAATTCAGGGAGAGACACGGCGAGGAAGATGATTGTGTAGGGGCGACGATGCAGATTGCAGGGAAGCCAGTGGTTGGGAGACCACCCGAAAACCATCTTCTTTCTCTGCGTCTGCCTTCCCAGAACCCATTGATGAGGCAGAGTTCCTCCTCGTGCCCAATTTAGCCTCTGACAATGCAATTCAGGTAAAGGAGGCCTCCTCCGCGCGGCAGTATCAGCGACATTTGAAGTAGCAACGACCGTTCGGGTTCAGCGACGGTGATGCCCGACCAGCGGTGCCCTTCTCTGGCGAGTGGTGAGTAGTGAAGGACGGAGGAATCGCGGAATGGAGAGGCGACATGCAAGCTGTTGGAGACTCTTGGATCTACTCACCGCTGCCTGGAATTGCTTTGCCAAAGATGAGTCGAAAGAGTAGAAGATGAGATGCTGGTGGCGGTTGATTTTTCCATGGTTGTGGGTGATGGGGTGTAGATTTATGGGAGGGACAAGAGCGGAGAAGAAAAGCAGTGAGAAAACAAGGGAGGAAGGTTTCTTCGGATTGATTAAAGATAGTCGGGTGAGTCCGTATCAGATAATTGGAATAGCGCCGATTATTTACCAAGACATGATCGGTATACCGCAACTCCCCCAAGCTCCATCGCTAACCGTCTCCACCCAGTTAACGGTGGTTATCGGTACAGTTACCGGTTAAACCGTTAACCGGATAACCGAATCTCACCTCTAATTTTTGGCGTATTGGATTAGATTATGACTATATGTAGCCGGTAGATTGGGACAAATAAGAAGAAACCACTACCGATAGACTTATTATATATGTAGTTTAAACCAATAAGAAAAAAAAATAATGGCCAAAAGCGACTTGTGTATATTATTGGTTGACTAATTAATTAATATATATGTTGGGAGCGGCACAATTTCATTTGCCAATTTGGCTATCCTTACAATGACATGAAGAGGCCACCTTCTATGAACTAGCATGCAAATGGATTGAAATTCAACTTCACTACTAATTGCCTCTTCATTTTCCTGCGTGGCTTCCATTTATTTATTCGTTTTATTTATTTTCACTCTAGAAAATTGTGGGCTCTCCATTTTTCACTTTGTTTCTTCGTGGAATTTGTGAACGATGGTTATGATGTTTACAAAGACAACAGAGAAAATATTGTCTCTTCACGTCGACCTAGTGAAATCTAAAAGCATTCATATGAACCTTGTAATTGGTATTATTTTTGCATCCTTTAACTTCCAAAAGTGGTGGGCTTATCCACTTTAATTTGTTGGCCATTGACAACGAAGATACAAAGACTGAAATTAGTGGGATCTTCAATAATGCAATTGTGGAATCCAAAGCAAAAAAAATTGTAAAATATTTTATCAATATTCCATAAATGTTCTTATCAATAACAATGATTTTCCGTTTAATTTTCTTAACTAGAGCCCAATGATTTACCGAAAAACTATAGCAATATCTAGATATTTCTATTACACGAATCAGATTCATTAATCGGGAGGAAAGTTTTCTCGAACTTGAAATCAGTGACTGTTTAATTTGGAGATTGGGAATTCGAGAGGTATTGAAATTTTCATTACCGAGATAAAATTGTTAGAGAATATCATTTGTGACGTATGTATATATATGGGGAGTTCTACGGTACCCAGAGTGAAATACGGGGTACCACATATCTTGAGTAAGAAAATGTTATCCAGAACTTGAATTGACTGATCTTTAGGACATGATACTATAATCTAACCCTTAAAGATCAAAATATAGGTCTTAATTCTCTAAATCTTATACCCCAAGATCAATTTAATTAGAAACAATAATCGACGGTTATGATTCATCCAAATATAGGCAAAAAAAAAAAAAATCAATGCACCATCTTAGGGTTTATAATATATGATTTAGATAATTAGGATCTAGGGTTCACTCATTAAGGGTTAGGGTATAGTATCATGCCAAAAATTCAGCTAATTCGAGGTCTAAATAACGTTTTCATACTCAAGGTATGCGGTACCCCAGATTTCACCCGGAGTACTGTAGAAAGCACTATATATTACACCGATTTTATTTTACTATGTGGTTAAGTAAGACAAGCTTAGTTTTGGCAGGAAAAAAAAGTAAGAAAAGCTTCGTACGTAAATTGTTTGATGGAACTTCTATCTTATATATTATGTAACAATTTGGTGGGGGTTAAATCAGAGTTGGCATGCTGACTTTTAATCCTTTCTTTAACTTTCATCTCGTATAATAAATTGTATAAAAAGGAAGTTACCGCGACAGCTCCCTTCATTAGAGATTTATTTATTTATTTAATATAATTAAAGAAAGACAAAACAAAGATGTGGTGGGCTGGTGGCGGGGCAGATGGGCGGTTGACCTCGTATATATGCACATGTTAGTTATTTGGCTGCTAATTCTGAGATTTCTGAGTTAAGATTTCATTAGGGAAGTAAAGATCAGCCTAGTGGCTGTCTCTGGGATGGTTCAGATCCTGTATTAATACATGGAATCATTTCTAGTCAAATATAGATAAACGGCCTGATTAATTCAATTAAGTAGCTACGTTTGTTTTGAGTCTGGTGGTGTATAACGATTCTAATTGTGGTATTATTTCGTCGGTCAAAGTGGGTGGTAAATGTCACGAGTTCTATTGCTAATTCCTAAAGTGGTCAAGGTGATTATACTTATTAAGCTTTATGGTACTAAATTTTTAAACCCGAACAATCAAATCTCTGAGAGGTACTATTTTCATCGCGAGGAGGTTAAGTCTGCGAGATAGTCCGCCAGGTGGTGCATAACGATTTTTAAACCCCAGGCCATAACCCAACCCTCCTCTGGATTCGGAGCTAGTATAGTACTTATGAGTTTATCGATTTTAGTCATCGGCTCATTGTTATTGTATAATAAAATTGTGTGCAAATAGAAAAATAGGTCAGATGGACATATTTAAATCACAATTCTAAATTTAGCCTGAAAATTCTAGTTCCAATGATTCTCGTCTAAAGAAAAACAAACAATTAAACCAAAAATTCTGAAAGTCTAAAACGTAAAAGTCAAAGAAAGATGAGGTTTGTTCCCTTGAAAAATTACTAAAGTAGCTGGTGGAAATAGGGATTGACACACAATACAAATTGATTAGTCGATTGATTTGTCTAGTGTTGACATTGCCCGTTTCAACAACTACTATGGAGAGAACCTTTTTAACAATAATACAGGTGAAAAATTATTTGCGTCACAAAATGAGCGATCTCACCAATTGGTTAACGATTTTATCTAAAAGAGAGTATGTTATTAGTATGGATGTAGACTCCATTATTGATGAATTCACTATATTAAAATTTAAAAGATCGACGTGTAAAATTGATATTGTAAAAAACATTGATTTTCTTAAAGTATCTAATTTTCTAATGAAATGCGGCTAGTGCTCTACCGTGTCTTGGATTCGCCGTAGCTCCGAGACCACATTCGTGCGAGTCGGATAGACCGTGTTCGCCGTGAGTCTGCTAGAAGAACTTCGTCAGCCACGAAATATACTAAGTATGAGTGCTCGAGCACGTTGGTCAGGAAGGAGTTAAGTCTCGCGGTGGTTGTGAGATCTGGACATCTTTCATCTCGAGTGAGCTGGACCATGGTGGTCGTGAGATCTAGATCTAGACCACGTCAGTCGCGAGTAAGAAATCAGACCACGATGATTGCGAGTAGGCATTGTCTTGTGGAGTTTGGTAGACATAGTTGGTCGCGAGATCTAGATGTCCTCGGTCGTGATATGTACATTCTTGGTTATGGTGGAGATGAGGAAAGTACCAAGACGACAGTTCCAAGAGAGGCACCTAGGATGTTGAAGGAGCAACCACCACTCCGGAGAAGAGGGAGTGCTTCTTTGTAGCAGTTATCAAGAAGACGGTTCTCCAAGACAGTTACACCCGATGGCTATAAATAGGAGGAGTTTACAAAGAAGAGGTTCCACAACCAACCATTTGACGACCAATGTCAAACTTTATTATTTTCTCTACAATGTAGCCTTAGTCGTAGTTCGAGCTCTTGCTAAACCTCCATAGGAGTAGGAGTAACTTAACATAGAATTTTTAGTTTCCTTTCAACATCAATCAAACACCCTTGTTCGAACTTTGTTTGAGGAGGTGTGAGCCGTGTTTTAGTAATCGTTGTCCAAAGAAGTCAAACGTGCAATCAATCTCAATTCAACGCAAGTTTTCTCACCGGAAAACAGTTACACAACTTTTCTCTTATAGTCAGAGCATGGTCCTTGACTTACACCCTGTAAAGGGTGGAAGTAAAGTCAGAGACTTATCCTATGGTAACAATAATATCAAAGAGTTGTCTATATCGTAGTAAAAAAAAACTCTTAACGATGATTCGACTTCTGTGCGACCAATGTTTCTTTCTTCTTTTTGTTTATGGAATTCAGTCGGAAAAGTCTTTCTTTTGTACTGTAGATCTGTTGTTTCCTTTGGGGAAGTCTATGACAAAATATTTTTATAATTTCCTCTAATTCCTCTAATATATTTTCGATGAAGTTGATAATTAACTAATGGTAAAGGAAGAACAACATAGATAGTCTTACACCTCTGGTTAGATGTTATATAACTAGAGATCAAGAGTAAGAAGGGAGAATAATGTGAAATTAGGGAGAAGACAGAGTGCTAATCTATTAGAGAATTAACATCATACTAACAATTATCTTAACCATTTAGGGATGAGATACTGTGACAATCTTTTAGATATTGACATATTTTATAACCACCTCTACACCAAGGATAGTTTGGATATGCCAAAAAATTATTTGTTAATTATTTATCATTTTAGACTATATTTTTGAGAACTAACACAGTTCTATTAATTACATATTGGGAATTACATTTCTCTCTCGCCAATCATATTAATTATAACCACCCCCAATTCAAACTTTTATTTCACGTTTTTAACTTCTCACTTTCTCTGACCCCCAACAGGTAAACTGACGTTTAACTTTCATAGAAAGCTCCATGCTTCTCTTATTGAACATTATGATTCTCTTATTGAACATCATGATTCTCTCATTTCTTGGATGCATGTCTATATAATTGGTTTGGCAACTTGAGCAAGACTCAGAGCCATTTTTATGAGTCTAGACATGTCTCGAACGCATATGTGGTTCAATTAAGGAATTTGACAATAAATAGCAAAGATCCACCACTAAACAATTTTACACGGAGGAAGAATCTTTATTCCACTAGTTTTCAAAATGGTCGATCATGGCAAGGATCCTCGCCGACATCGGTGACAAGCCAACTACCATCTCAACATGAGAGTTGTGGCCAAAATTGGCCTTCACGTTCAAAACCCATGATGGGGACTTGTATGTACAAGATGGAGTTCAACCGCCCATTCTAGATATAAGAACATCTAGGACCCCTGTTGATGATTTAGATGGTGGCATTTCATTCAAAGTAGAACAAGTACCACCATCTGCTCGCCCACCCCCAGTGCCACCCCTAGTGAGTAGACAGAGAGTGGATTATGATGGACTCAAACCATTTAAAGCCAAACATAGGGGGGGGGGTATGGCAGTCTAAAAACCCACAAGATGAAATCGAGAAGTCCATCTAGGTGGCATGTGGTATCCAAGAGACCACATAAATCACAAGCCACACATGCTTGTGGTAAGCATGCTAAAATGGCTAAGTCTAGAGAGGGGAGCATGCCACCAGCCACAGATAGTGGACGTGGAGGCATATCCAACAAGTCATTATGTGTGAATGCCACAAAGAGTCTTGAAAATTTATCAAGTATGGACAAGTCATGTACAAGAGGCCATGTGAATTCCAAGTTACACATGCTTGTGATAAGCA